TTTGCAATTGGATTACGGAATCCCTATTTCGAATTGTAAATTATTGTTTTGGTTCTTAGCCTTAATATTTCATTTGGGTGTTATATTAAGGATTTAAATCAACTTAACTTGAAATTCTCCCTTGTAGATGTCTAGTTCTAACAACTATGGTCTTCCCAAATCTTTTAAGAATAGTTTTCCTCAAGAAGATGATATTCCACGATTGGATCGTAGAAATGGAAATCATACTTCACTTCCTCCACCTCCTCCAATAATTCTCCCTGACCCACATGTTCATCGACTTGAAAAGTTCAAGGTCACTCAAACCATATTGGCGAGAAAACACCGAGATGCAAAATCTATATGTGCTCACGTCTTAGAGATGAAGTTGCATACTCACAGGCTGGAAATGTTGGGTGTTGTTTTCCCGAGGAAGTTAGTTGTTGACTTGGTTCTTCAATCACTTTCTAAGTCGTATGGTCAGTTTGTTAAAGACTACTATATAACAAATCACGACGTGACCCTCATCGATCTTAACTATTTTCTAATTGTTGCTGAATCAGAAATGATTTGGCGTACTGGTAAAGCAAATTTGATTGGAAGATCTGCTTCCCAAACTTCCATGGACATTGACAATGGTAACATTGGAAGTCTAGAAAAGTCATCTCTTCCCAATGGAAAAGGATCAGCCATGGTCAAACCGTTTGACCAAATGGTAAGGAAAAAGGCTAAGTCTGAGATTGTCCTGTGTGCCATTCCAAAAGAGTCTGTTTATTTCTACTGCCAAGAGAAGGGGCATTGGATGTGAAGCTACCGTATTTACCTCAAGGACCACAAGGATGATAAAGTCAAAATGTCCGACTCTGCTTCAGGTAAGTCCACTATTTAACTCTATTAAGTTCCTATTTGTATATTCTTAATACATGATGTGATGAGATTACATTTTGATGTTTTGTAGGATCGATAAAAATAAAGGAAACTTAAAGGAAAAGCATGTTGGGTCTGATCGCAAGAGATGGATTTCGATCGCATGATTCAATGATCGAAGTTTTGAGCTGCTGCTTAGGAGTTATTTAGTTTAAGTTTTGAGCTGCTTCAATGATCGAAGTTTTGAGCTGTTGCTTAGGATTTATTAATACTCTTTTAATTAATTATCAACAAAGCCATAATTAAACCTTTTAAGTCGAGGTTTAAGTTATGAAGCCAAAAGGTTTGGTATTTAATATTTCACAATTAAAACTTTTTAATCAAATTTTAAATTTCAAAACTCAAGTGCAATTATTGAAACTCTTCAAAACCTTTTGGATTCCAAAACTTGATAACAAGTTTTTGTAACTCTTCAATAAACTCTTGAATTCCATAACTTAATGAGTTTAATGTTTCAAGAATGAGACTTTTCATATTTCATAACTTGAGCACAAGTTATGAAACTCTTCAAGTAACATTTAGATCAAATTTAACTAATAAAATTATCATATAAATTTATCCTTTACTAATTTGACCTAATTCAACTCATATGACAAGATAATTTCAAATTCTACAAATAATTATTTTTCACAAAAATCAAGTAATTATTTTAAAATTTGACAATCATCATGTTATTGGATGGGGATAATCATTACCATATCAGTAAAATCGAATTTTATGAGCTAAAACAATTTTTGGTAATGATTTTAATCGAAAACAGACCAAAAACTCGAAAAATCTGTCAACTGATGATCCAACTCGTCGAGTCAGGCTATGGACTTATCGAGTTCATGGTCATATGAGTCAACTCGTCGAGTCCAGCAGTCAGACAACAAAACTCATGATTTTTCAACTTTGAGAACAATGCAATTGCATCTATATAACCGAAAACACTCATGGCTTTGATACCACTATTGGGTTTTATGTACGATAACACTCCTATGGTGCACATACAAACCTAATGCTTTGTATCTAAGTTTTCTCTAGTTATACATGCAATATTCATTTTCTAAAGCATGAAGCCTAACTAGAATGCAACTTTGATATATGAATCATAAAACTAGGTAGAAAAAAACCTCTTATTTGTAGCTTGTAAAAGCTTAGCACCTCAAGTGTGATGCCTCAAATGTTTCACAAGACACCATGAACAAATGATGAATATGAGAGAAAAGTTATGAAGATCAAATTGGCTAGGCTTACACCTTAGGAGTCTTGGAGCCGATTTTGCAAGATTAGGGGTTCAATACATAGTTTGGAATTCCTAAGGTTTCAACTTGTAAACCCTAATTCCCTTAGGACTTTAATCTAATAACTCATTAGCCTTATGGACTAACACTTCATGGACTCTCACATAAACTTAGTCCATCACTAATCAATCATGGATCATTGGCCCAAACTATATGTATCACTAATTTACATAATCAGTCCCCGTTAATTTAATTAGTCTCTTTTGATCACTAATTAATTCCAAATTAATTCTTGATCAATACTAATTAAATAATATGATTTCTCAATTAATATATTATACTTGTAATATATTAATAAATCATAAATGACTTCTTTCTCAAATATCCATCCTATCAAATTGTTCTGGTGAATGCAACCCGAAATGGACCATGCTACTATCGGGTCAAGTACATATCGATTATAGTTATGGGCTTAGACACCTAATCCAACACGTTTCAACCGTCATTTCATGCCATATACTAGATCCATGTGTTTCGATACCCATCATATAATCTTCAAAGTGAAGAGCCCAGACCTCATAATCTTTTGGAAAAATGATACGAATCCTTGTTGTTGATCCAATGCTGCTTGATAGATTGAATAAGAGAGAGTGAAGGTTGTCGTTAGGCATTTTAACGAGAATTCAATGAAACAAAAGATAGAATCAAATGTGTAAATTTAAATAGACTTTAAGGGAAAACCAGAGATTTTGATATGAGATCTACAATCGATTGAGACACTCGAGATAACAAAAATAGATCTGAGAAAACTGAAAAACCCTAATGAAAAACCATTTACTTGACATAAGAATAACTATTTGATTACAGTATCTCCTGCTCTGATACCAGTTGATAGAAATATTAAAGATCGGTAGATTCTATATATTACGAGACAAATCGATGATAATGAATGATAATGATTGAAAAGAGTTGGATTCTCTTAATGTCAACAATAGAATAGTTTGTGAGGGTGAAACTATTTTTTTAGTGTTGGAGGAAGACGTAACCCTAGATGTTACATGCATATGCTATATATAGGCTAAACAATACAAAAATTATGAAAATGGACATGCCCCATTTCAGAATCGAAATTGAACATAAATCCGAAAACAAACATTTGACACAATACTAAATAAGACTTAGCATTTCCCGTCGTAGTAAAATAACTAGCTCATCCACCTCACTGTGGGTACTCAGTTTAGCATTAGTCCTTAAGTAACTAATAAATCAATAATGATAAAATTGCAAAAATGGTCCATGTGGTTGGCAAAAAAAAATGTTGTTTTGATCCATAGAGGTTTGGTGGTGTATCAGTTTTGGATCTTTTTAGTAATTTTGGTCCCTATACATTTAAAAAGACATTTTTGCCATTATAATTAACTTTTTCCTTTTTTATTAACTTGAAACAAAAAAATAAATAAATAACCAATACCCCTCCTATTTCCATTTTTATCAGGAACATAGAAGCTATTCATTAATCTATATCCTCCGGCGAACCCTCTGTCTGGAACAACTACTGACAGCCGCATATCTCATCGAAAACCATTGCCATCCTCGCTATCTGATCTTTCACCATATTCTATTTCTCATGCGGTTTGCCCCGATCACATATGCCATAGATATCGTCGTTGACGGAGCTAGGGTTTGCAAACCCTAAACCACACAATCGGCGATCAAGTTACAATACCCTGCGACCATTATCGATGCCTCCAAACTCGAATTTTAGTCCACCATTTTCGAGTAACCTTCTGTCAAAGCCTCATGTTCTAGTTTATGGGAAAATCGATCTACCCTTCATTACTAGTTGTTTTGTTATCCAAAGGAGATGATGATAAAGTGTGAAGATGGTGGACAATCACGTTGGTTTTGGATCTCAACTGATGAGATGGTGGAGCAAGGTTGATGATGGTGGTGCAATTGTGGGTTTTAGGGTTAAGGTGATGTGGGGAAGACAGTGACTCAATAAGGAAGTGGGCGTTGGATTTCTATGCATAAACAAAGCTGGGGAGACGAGCGTTGGTGGCCTAGAGGGGCGACGAATCTCATCAACCACCATTGCTACCATTACTATAAAAAAAACCACCACTGCTCATCTGGTTCTCCATTCGAAATAAACCTACCATCGGAACCAATCGTGTTCATCCAAACACAGATTAACCCACCTCCAGTCCCTCCCTACTTCTCCCTTCCTCCAATTTTGATGGATAATTTGATTTATAGAACCATTTTCGATTGTTGGATCTTGATGTGATGTCAGTGGCTGATAGTGGCGGTATAAGAGTGGTTTATTGAGGTTCCAATGAAGGTGATATAGTGTGTGTTAAAGGAGAATGACGGTGTTCCAGTGAAGAGGCCGATGGTTCGATGGTGTTGGTGACTTGATGGTGGTTCCAAATATTAAAAAGAAATTAGGAAAGGCGGGGTGGGTTAGGGGTTTTTTTGTTCTTTAATTAAATAATAGTAAAATAATTAGAAGAAATTTAAAAAATATATATTTAAAAGCATTTTCATCTTTCAAGTAAGGAATGGACTAAAACTACAAAATAGGTACCAAAAACACTGAAAGTATCTTAGACCATTTACATCACTAAACTTTTTTAAACCAAAATCATACATTTAACGTGAAAGTATCTTGGACCATTTAGATCACTAAACTTTTTTAAACCAAAATCATTTAACAATCATGACCATTTTTATAATTTTGTCGTCAATAATTTGGTAAAGGTGAAGGGCGATACCCACGAAAGCGAAAAAGGTGTGGTGCTAAATGAGCCAAGTCAATCCTCAGCTTGCTAGATGAAATTGAACAAAAAGTCGACAAAAACAACCATGAAGAAGGCGACAGGTGCTTTCTTCTTAGTCGCGCGGACGTAGACAGACGCAGACGCAGAGCATCGCCATGAAGAAGGCGACAGGTGCTTTCTTCTTCTTCATGGCTACTCTGGTTATGTGGGCCGTCTCCGTCTTCTTCGAAATACTATTCAACAAGCGTATCGAGCTCCTTCCACTCCTTTATGGCTTCTCCTTTTACCAATTCGCCAATTGGGTTTGCCGTAAATTCATCTCTAGAGACCCTCTTTTGGTTAACACATGTGTCTCTCTTCTCCATTCTTCTATTACCTCCACTTCAGGTATTTTCTATACTGAATCTATTATCAAATTCCCCAGATTTTGAGGCACCTGGTTGTTGATTTGATGCTAAATTAATCTACTTCGCAATCCTCCGGGAATATAATAATAAAGTAGAAAATGTTTAATGCTACTTTTACGATATAAAGATTACTAGAATGAAAACATTTTAAAGATTGTAAAATAGAAACTGATCTATAATAATTTTGAATTCTACAAAGTAGTAGGTTTAACTCGCAAACAAATTAACAATTCATGCGACAGGATGGTATTATACTTGATTGCTTAGTGTCCGTTATTCTTGTTGGCATATCACAGTGGCAGAGCATATGCTGTGTCTAATTTTGTCTACAGCATGTATTTTACAACAATTGGCAAAAGATTGAGGTTTTTTTTGTACATTTGGGATATATGAATTGTAAAGTTAGTAAACATGCCTTGAATTTTGACCTTCAATGTCAAATGTGTTGTTTTTAACTTGGAAATCCTTGGGAAATATAAGCTTATTGTACCAAAAGTTGGATGCTGGATTTACAACGTAGAGACTTTAAAGATTAAAAAAACTTAAACAAACGTATGATAATTTTGAATTTTACAAGTATTAGGTTTGACTCACACAATGAAATGAAAATTACACTGGACTTGTTTGTGTTTTTGGCATATCAGATGGACATGATGTTGTGTGTATAGTCTTGTCTACAACATGTTATATTTAACAATAATTGGCAAAAGATTGGGGATTTATTGTATGAATCATAAAGTTAGTAAACATGGACTAAATTTCTTGACAGTGATGCTCATTTTGGTGAAGCAGTTGCTATCCAATGGTTTAGATGAGTTATTTGAGCATTCACAGCTAGTTAAAGCAACTTGGCCATGGGCATATTCGGCATTGTGCATTTCGTGTGGCTATTTCGCATACGATCAGTTGGATATGTTGTTGTATGGGTTATATAGTGGTTGGATACCCTCCATCCTATTGCATCATTTTATTCTACTTGGATGCTTTACTCTTGCCCTATATCGGAATGTCACAATCAACTACCTTATTTTAACTCTAATATGTGAGGTATGTGTCTTGCTTCGTAAATATGCAATTTCACATGTGACACATGACTGGACAGGCCGAGCTTTCTAGGGATACTTTTTATGATGAGGAAGGATAAGGAGGGCATTTATTATGTCTTTCACATAGATGAGAGATTGAGAGTGAGTCCCTTTTCCAGCTTTTTAGATGGGACAAAAGTTTGATAGCAACAGACTTTCATTTATTTGTGTATTATATATATATATATATATATATATATATATATATATAGCATCCTACTATCATTTCTTTCCTATGAAAGCATCGAATTGTCAAAAAGTTAGCTATTTATAACGTTGGACTTCCAAAAAAATTTATTTGGACATTGTTATTTAAAATGATGTACAGGTGAAAATTTCTTTTTTTTTTTTGAATGACATTTTTGTAATTGGTTAGATTTTTCAAAGTATAATGTTGTAATAGGAAGAAATAAAGTAGGGGGTGCTTAATAAACAGATCAATGAAAGTACATTGCTATTTCTTGCATCTAACCTTTTGTTACTTTGGCATAATTCCTAATGCCATATGCAGTATGAATCTCAACCTTGTTTGCTTGTGATTGTGATTGTGATCAACAGTTGCATTCTATCTTTCTTCATGTGAGGAAAGTGAGGCGGATGGCCGGCATACGTGATGCCAAGAGCAAGTCTGTGAAAATAGAATGGTTCTTTAATATAAGCACCTTTTTATTTGCACGTTTCTTGTCTCATGTACTCATTACTGTCAAGCTTGTAAAAGATGCTTCCAAGTTTGAGAAAGGTGTGGAGCTCCCACTTGCTTTGTTTGGTATGGCAGGGATGAATTTGCTTAACGTTTCCCTTGGCATAGATCTCTTCAAGGCTTTCAGGAGGGAGATAAACCGACATAATATTCATCAATCGTAGACCTCATTTAGGAACCATGTTCTTTCCCCTAAGTGTTGTCCGGATAAATGATATATGTTTGGAGGAGCATTGTAATTGATAGTAAAACATCATTTTAGGGATTAATGTTGAATGACATATCATTGTTGTTTTGAATGAATGTTGTGTTGTATTAACAAATGTAGTTTCTTTTGGTTGAATGGAATTATAAATGATAGTAAAAGATCATTTTAGGTATTAATGGTGAATGAAATATCATTGTTGTCATTAAATGAAAAAATTATATGACAAAAGTTGCAAATTTATAAATGCTAATAAAATTATTAATATAAATAATGCATAGATTCCTAAACCTAAATATAAAATGAATATGAATATGAAAATAAAAAAGGGCAGATTGCATGAAAATCATTATATTTTGTTTATTTTTGAAGTTAATTATTATATATATATATATATATATATATATATATATATATATATATATATATATATATATATATAGATATATTTTTATGAAAGTCATGATATTTTGAAAAAAAAAAAACATTCACCATTAACTGTTGTCGGTTTTGCATCTTACAATAAAGAGGTGACATTTATTTCTCTAAAACCATCAAACTTTAGCAAAAAAAAGTTTATCTAATTTGACAATAATAACATTGTTTGTATTGTTTTTTTTTTTTTCATTTTATTTTGTTAAAGCTGGTATTGATCAACCACTATTGTTAAGTCACAATGAAAACTTATAAACAAATAAGGAGAGGTTTCAAAGTGAAGAAGGAACATGGGGAAAAAGTAGCTTACAGACGGAAAAAAATGGCTAAAATCCCTTGTTGAAAAGAAGAAAGGGTGATCGTAACCCCGTTTTAATGTTAACTGACAAAACTTCAATGACACTGTTATCACAGTAGTGACAAGACACAAAGTGTCTGGCCGGTCAAATAAAATCGACATTAAGAATACTCTAAAAATTATCCATCCCGATGCAAGAATTCTGGCACCCATCTCTACAAAAGAACTCGATACGCTTACTGACCGACAATGACAACTAGTGTGTCATTATTAAAACAAGAAGTCAAATAACAATATGAATGCAAAATGAAACAATAAAAACAATAAGATAAAATACAATTTAGCTCTTTGATTGATTGGAGTATGTCATTAGAAAAAGACTAAGTGTCACAAACAGTAAAATCATGTCAACATCCGCCTGTGAAACCATCGCGAACCCACCTTGTAATAGACCTAATGTAACATATTCCACACTTTTAATGCAAATAAAATTTTTATACTTAGACATACATACAAAATAATACTTTAGTCTTCGATGGATGTAAATTGTTGACAACTAAACACGATTCACAATACATAAGTAATAATTAGTACATTGAAAACAAAATTTTCTATTAAGCATTTTTTTTATGTGCAAATGATAATCTAAAAGGGTAAAACATTTAAATACGATTATGTGGATATAAAGAATGTCCAAAATGGAGATCGTACGCAAAAGTTAATGACCATTTTAAGGAAACAAATCAACAATATAACTGATTTTCCCGTAAATGAACTTTGAAACGATCTGTAGGATTCTCTAGGCATTTTGTTAAGTATTTTTTAACATGTTTTTGTGTAATATCCCAAAAACCATGACATTGTTTTTTTCATTTTTAAAAGATATTTTCATAAAACTATTAGATAATCAAATATTGTTTTCCAATCAATCCATAAAATCAGAGTGTCAAGATAATCTCTCAAACATAAAACAATAGAAGGGTGTGTGAAATCATGCATTTGTCTTGCTCCGATCATCAGAAGTACCTAAAACATTGAAATCAACGAATATAACACAAAGCTTAGTAGTTCCTCCAAAATACCCCACACAACAATACATATATAATGCAAGCATACCGAGCCCACAGTCTAAAACTGGATTGCCTTCAGGCCTACAATCATCATACTGGATTGCTCTTGGGCCCACAACACACAGTTGGATTGCCTCAGGTTTGTTGGCCTATAACACAAAGTTGTACCGTCTCAACCCAAACTGCACTATATTGACATATGCAAACAATGAAACAATAATCAAGAACCGGTAATGTCACACCCCCAAACCGGAACGGTGGAAACGTTCGAGGTCGAAGAACATCATGTACAATATCACAACAATGCATAATAGTAAATAAATTACAACAACAATTGTATTTACAAAGTGGTAAGTATTACAGCTGTGTTCAAAACATAGTATATATTTCACCAAAAGTGCAAGTTTAAAAGATAAGAGTTTATAGAGCTCCGTTTTCTCAAAAATCCGGGTGTGTATCTGCCTATTGATTCCCTGAGAATATAAGTAGTTTTTGAAAAGGTGTCAACAATTAAGTTGGTGAGTTCATAAGTATGTTTGTAACTAAAATCTGTTTTCTTGTTCCTTGATAATGTAAACATGTTTTCCCAGAAATCCTATATTTTCTGATGTATTATGTTGTAAGCAATGCGTGTGAAAGTTACTGTACTTTGAAGTAGTAAAATGTAGTTTAGTTCGCATAAAACCATGTAAAGTATGTTTTCTCTGTACTGAAATAGAATTTTGTACTTATACTTGTAAAATACTATATTATAGTTTTATTATCAATAAAACTATGTGAAGTTGTTTACTTATTCATACAGTAATCATTTTGTTCAATATCAAATTGTGAGTTATTATAACCATGCCAGATGACCTATGATCGCTTGAATACGACATTCTTCAGGCGTCACAATTGGTAGGACATTTGTCACCCCAGACATGGTTGTCTAATTGTAGCTAGCAATTCAAGTGTGGGATTATCAGTCCTATATAGATCTATATACAAGTGTCGCGATCTCCCTCCAGGAGATTCTGGTTATAATTTCAGGACTTGGTGGGTACTTAGAAAAGTACGTGAAGGTTGTCTCACAAATGCCATATTGATGATTTCGCATAGAATAATGAAAAGTTACTTTGCAAAATAAATACACTGTAAGTAATGTTTCATAAACTATATTTAATATAGCTTATATGTTTCTTTTCAGTAAGGTACTCTGTTTGTTTTCTGTAATGTACTCTGTTTATTTTTTGTTATCTAAACCTTGAATTCAATGAATAAGTTTCCTAAACTATACCCATTATAGTTTAAATGTTTGTTTTACTGTAATTAAAACCTTTGTTAACTTTTGTAAGAATCTGTAATACTGTTGTTCTATGAAATCCACTGTTTGTACTCAAATAATGCAAAACAGTTTAAAAACCATTTTATATTTATATTGTAACAACGCAAATTTTCAAACAAAATTTTCATTTCAAACAAATAGAGTATTTTTATTCAAACTAAATATAATTATTCCAAGTGTTAAGTCGAAATACAAATCATAGAATTCCCAAGATCTCAAAACATCAATCAGTGTGTACGCATCACGCCGGCGCCTTCCCACGGTCCTCGCTAGTACCTGAAACACATACATAACAACTGTAAGCATAAATGCTTAGTGAGTTCCCCAATATACAACTTACACATATACGCCTTTCCAGGCCCTGACCTTCCGGTTCACAACACAACGCCTTCCGGCCCATAACATAATCGCCTTCTGGCCCATAACATATTGCCTTCCGGCCCATAACATATTGCCTTCCGGCCCATATAAACATACACAGCACGCATAACAATTAACTTACCACATATAGCACATATATCACATATCATATCCGACCTTCCGGTCACACAGTCAAACCCTTCCGGGTACAGTATAGTGAGAAGACTCACCTCGTGGATACTGAAAGCTAGCAACTCCTGAAATCACTCGTACTCGATCCGCCGAGCTACAAACTCCCTATAATATCATATATCCCTTATTAACACTTTTATCTTCCAAGTTAACTGACCCTAAGAAATCACACATAGGTCAACTCTGGTCAACGGTCCACGGTCAACTCGACCGGACTCGGCGAGTCTAGTCGTCCTCCAATCCTCTAAGATTCCCTTCTACTCGTCGAGTATCCTCCTTGACCCGACGAGTTACTCCTGGAAGAATCGCGGGGCCACCCCGACTCCACTCGCCGAGTCTGAAGAACAGCTCGACGAGTCCAGTTATTCTCCAAGCTACTCGCCGAGTCTGTTCATCGGACTCGGCGAGTCCATGCCATGCAGTCGATCAAACTGTTTCCTAAGGTCAGAATTGTTCCGACCATTCATAGGTCTGGTCCTCCTAGACTGGTCCATCACGTAAGGTCTTCATTTAGGTGTTCATGCTACACCCCAAGACTTATAATTTACATGTTGACCTAAGGCATAAGGATTTCAATCCAAAACCTTCATCAATTCCCGGAATGCACAGACATGGGACATTCTGGACCTCCAAAGGTCCCAACACGGGGTTACAATCGTTTGGGGGACTAGGGTAACATTCAATCTATCCACAAAAGGGTTCCATAAACCCTAATCCTCTAAACACATCACCATAGCAGAGCATACTCGAATTCTTACCTGGATGATGTACTCTCTGTGTCCCCAATCCTCAGAACGTGATTCCCTTGCTGTTCCTTTAGCCAAGCCCTTCTCTTCCTTGCACAACAACTCCTTCAAAATCACCAATGGCCTTTAACCTTGCTCTAGATGCACACAATCGATTTAGGGTTCTTCTCAGAAGGCTAAAACGAACAATGACGGCCAATAAGTCCCTTTTATACATCCCAAATCTGAACGGCTAGGGTTTTCGCTAAACAGCGCAGACTCGCCGAGTCCATATCTGGACTCGTCGAGTCCAGTCGCGAACCCGCGACCAGGTCTGCGATCCTACTCGGCGAGTCTGGCTCCAACTCGCCGAGTCCCCTCTTAAAACACCCCAAAAACACAATTTAAACAATACCTGAGATTCCGGGCTGTTACAATTCTCCCCCACTAGGATTAGACTTCGCCCTCGAAGTCTCGCTCTGAAAATAGTTCCGGATGCTGCTCCCGTATCTCACGTTCCAGCTCCCAAGTCATTTCCGATCCTTTCCGGTGTTG